TATGAATACATCTTATTTAATAAGAGAACATTTTTTAATTGATATCATTAAAACAACGACTGAATGTAAAATAAAAGTAGATTAGATAACACGTGAATAATTATGATCCAAGATTATTGTTGCAATGTCCTAAAGATGTTTGTGGCTCTGAAAAGGGCCATTGTTATTATTATTGATATTATTTTAATAAATTAATGAGATATTTGCGATTAATATTATATCAAACACATCATAATTCAGATACTTTTTAATTACATGCATAATAAAAATTTTTGTTATACTTCTACTTGAAAATTATCTAAATTATGTCGTCTTTGATGTAATTTGCAAAGTCTCATTAATTCAAAAAATTACTTTTAGAAAAAATAAATAAAAAATATAAAAACTCTGATTTTTACTTATTACATTAACAAAAAATATAAACAAAAATAATATTATATTTAAAAAAATAATGAGAAAAATCAAATTTGTTGTTTTTTTCCATGAAAAAGCTTATTTTTTTAACGGCTGTTCACCATTTAAAAAAAACATAAATCTTTTATAACTCTATTTTTTACAAATTATTATTATAAATGTATGTGTGAGACACAAATATTTTGGTAGATATAATTAATATATCATATGTGTGATATAAAAAGAGACTGTTGCATATTGTATCTGTAATCGATTTTTTGCTTTGACAACTTTTGCGAGTTAAAAAGTCTAATATGTCCGTATTTTGAAAATCTAAAAAGATCTTACTCGTAAGTGCAGCGGTACAACGTCTAGCACTGCATCCATATTCGTTTATGATAGCAAATTCGTTTTTGTCTTTTAACTCATTACATATAAGCTGTAGCTGCTCCAATAAATCTTTCACCTGTTTTTTAAATAATTTAATATACTATTATTATATATAGCAGTGAGAAATAGAAAAAATTGTTCGTACAAGAATTTAGTTAACAATAAATTTTTTTATTTATGTTGAATGAATTCTCAACTCATAAAATAGTCTGTAAGTTTTCAACTTTATATGCTATATACTCACAGCTTCGATATTAATACCGAACATATTATATTTTATCACAAAAAGAGCGAAAAAAGATACGGAAGATAAAATTTTGGCGACAAAATCCAGAGTACATTTTTGTGAAATAAATGGTGTACACTGTAAATAGTAATTTTACTTACGAATTTGCATTAAAAGGTTATTTTTCTAAAGTCATAATCGCACACACATACACGGGCACACAAAATTTTTTATTTTATATTAACGAATCTATTTTAAATAACTATTATAATTTTATATTTGCCAGAAAATGTTATTTACGGAAACAAATTATATGTAAGTAAATAATAAAAATGTCAATATAGATAAAATTTTGCTTTCTCAATAATAATAAAAATTTATATAGGGTGTATCTGAAATGATGCACTAAACTTTAGGAGCATATTCTAGAGATCAAAATAAGTAATCTATAAATGCAAACCTCTATTACTATATACAATTATAATTTATAGTTAATATAATTTTATTCTAATCCAAATTGTAAGATATTTAAGTTATATGTGTGGTATAAGACTGCTTTTTTGCAACAATTTTTTATATATTAATATCATTATATACATTAGAGCTTACCTGAAATATAAGACTTGACGTCAAAATAGTAGACAAGAAAATAAATTGAAGTCGAGTAAAGTTTGATTGTTGATAGGGCCATAGACCAATAGCGAGCAGAAGAATCCTATTCAGATTAAAATGAGTCTCGAGACGAATCATCTTCTTGCGACGTCTGGGACGCATATGATAGTAAAGTAACAAAAGTACTCACATCCCCTTCTTTTTCCATTGATCATATTTTATTCCTTTTCTTTTTTGGTGTAAATTGCAGCATAAATTGCATATAATTTCGGGTAACACACAAAGCCAATATTACTATAGGACGCGGTAAAAGTAGAATATCCACAGAGTAACAATGTTTCTCGCAATAAAGTCCCCAATTATGCGATCGATTTGATAGCGGAGTAATTTCAGGGTGTTATTTAAGAAAATGAGAGAAAAAATATTTATGGAGAGAGTTTCTTGCGCGAAAATCGCGCATGCGTATTTGCAACTTCTTTTGGACCGGAAATTTACTCGTTTCAGTCTATTGTCTGCACTCATAACGTACGTTTAGTCTTCGAGACGAATGTCGTTAACTGTTGAGAGCATATACATATAGATATATATACGTATATGTATATATACATATATGTCAGTGCGTAAAATATTTTGGCTATGTATTATCAATAACATAATATTTGGCCTTGGTGACGTAAATAATAACGCGCTAATGTTTACGTGTTACGGCCTTGTTATCATTCGCACAGCCATACCTTTGAATAGTACTATAGTAATGGAAGACATTTTGTCAAATTCCTTTTCTCCTGGTTATCATTCGCACGGCGATACTCGAACAGTAAAATAATAGTGCAGGACGCGGTATGTTTCGTATATCGTCAAATTCCTGTTCTAAACGTGTCTCGCAATACGACTAATTATAAATTAATCATGTTTTTGCGAGTGAGGGTAAATCACGAGGAAACAGCAAAAAATGAGCAAAAAAAGAAAAGGAGGTGTCGGCGACGGACGTACCAACGATATGCAATAAGTAATTTATAAATTATGTATCATTTATATTATGTTTGAATTGGACATATTGTTTATTCCTTTTTCATTTCTTCGATAGTGTGTGTATATTCTTTTGAATTCGAAGAAGTTTGAATCATTAACAGCGTTAAAATTAATTCTTTCCCGTTCATATGACCGATTGGTGATAGATATGCTGCCAGGTTTTTGCAAAATGTCATACGAAAAATTGAGATATCTCTTGCAATATTGGTTTGAGCATAAAAATGTCAAGAGTTTGTTTTATTTGGTGAGATGTTACCCAGGATCCTAAATAAAATGCCGGAAATGCGAAAAAATCTACCCCTCCCAATACTTGGATGTATTTTAATACGACATACGAAAAATTATGATTTCCGAAACACGGAGGTCTATTTTATTATAATTATTATATTTTCCTATAGTTTTTTCCATGTTCTTTCGAAATCGGAAGAATTTTAATCATTAATAGCGTTAATTAATTCTTTCACACACACGCGTGCGCGCGCGCGCACATACACGCACACGCTCGCACGCACGCATACATGCATATATATATATATATATATATAACTCTTAACAGTTCGATATTTCGGAAACTATGCCATCGATTTTAAAGATTCAGGTCTTGAATTGTATAGGTTTAATGGCCCTTTAAACGTGAATGGAGAAGTTGGTTTTCAACCAACCTGGTTGCGTGAGTGGGGCAGGGGTTAAATTTTAAATTTTAAATGGAAACCTCTATACAAAATTACATTTTTGGATTCTATGAAAGAAAAGAACTTAGCTTTATCCAAAACATCTTTTTGTCAGACGTTTCCATGAAAAAATATAACGGTTTGAAGTCTCGATTTGTAGCTAGTTAAAACACTCGAGAAAAATGTATTTTATCACAAAGATAGTAAAACAGGCGCGCTACGTAGAATCTTGACGACGAAATCAGTGGTATATTTTGAATTAAGAAATGTAATAAACTGCAAACAATAATTCTTTAAAAATTTTTGCATTAAAGAACCTGTTTTTGATTATTAATAACTTGCAATTTTTATACAGAAAATTGTCTGACTGCCAACCGCATAAAGAGTACATTAAGTTCTACAGTAGAATTTTATTTTATGTGTTCCCAGAAAAAAGACATATATGTTTTATTTTTATTTTTATAATTTTTTTTTAATATTGATTTTAGCATATATTATAATTACAAAAGGATAAGAAAAAATATAAATAAAATGAGAATAAGTGATATTCTGTTTTAGAATAAAGCATAGAGAGATTATTTCTTTTATATCATATATGAACATTACAAGTATGTTTCAGGCATATATCACATATTGCTCTATATTTATTATCGTTAAAAATTCTGCAGAGATATATCTAAATAGATCCAATATTTTGAATTATGGTAATTGATTTTTTAATACATAATTATGTTATATAAAAAATATCAAGGCCAAAAAATAAAAATTTCCGGATTACAAACGATCAAAGTAATGATATAGAATATAGACATGTAAATCATGCATTCAGATAATTATATACATATATGTATATGATATGCATACCGATCTGTTAATTATTTTTATTATTAAACTAATTTCATCTTTCGGTTCCTTTTTCTTCGTTTTCGGTGTTCTATAATAAGTGTTTTTTTAAATATAAGTTATAAGTGCAACTATTAGTAAAATACCATCGTGTGATTGGAACATGTGCAAGTCAACTAATTTCTCAATAAGGTGTATATATGTATAATTACACGATCGATACGACGCTGAAAGTACAATATTTCAACGTATGTCATTTTCCCATGAATGAAACTCTTTGCATAAAATGACCCCACGCAGGCGCTATTCTCCCTTTTCGGAGCCGACACTTAATTATAATGCTGACGCTCATAAGATATTTGGCCTTCGAGAGGAGTTTCTTCAACTTTAAACATTTCAATGTTGAATATATCTGGTAAAACTCATGTCATCTTAAACTGAGTACATTAGATAAATGCACAGCACTTTCAAATTTTAAATCGAAAATTGGCACAGCTTATATTTGTTCATCGTTGCTAATATTTTGTTCAAGTATGTTTAGTAGAAAATAATATTAATCACATTCTCTACTAAATATACTTTTATTTAATTGTTTCTTTTTTTTACTTAAATGATCAAATGATCGCTAACGCTAAACAATGAATGATTTGTTTAGCAATAATGTGTCATTATAAATATTATACATTGAAAATATTAAAATAAAAGTTAAAATAATTATATCTGTATTATTGTTTTTATTTGAAATATACTATATAAAGTATTCACTCCTGATGCAGATGTAGCACAATAATGTTTGAATTAATTAATTTTATTTCTCCATATTTCTCTTTACAAGAAAAAATCGAGCTACATTTTTACATGCTGCAAAATAATCTTTTATCTTGCTTATACATAAAATATAAGAATTTGTTACTTCTGTGATAATAATAGTTATTGTGTAGAATACATAACTGTAAAGTAAGACACTGAAGTCTTGACTAGCTATAATGAAAGATATTCTATTTTATTGCGCTATCCATTTATAATATACGGGGTGTCCCAAAATTACCGCATCACCTGCTAATGGCAGATTCTTGAGATCATTTGGAGACAATTTTTCCTCAGCGAAAATGTCGAGGAATCAATCATTTTCGTGTTATGCGATTCAAAAAGAAGGGCTATTTGCAAACTAAACTTTGTAGAGACTTAAAACTACATTCTTTAGTTAATTTCAGATAGAGTTTACTTTAATAGAGAGAATGAATTTTCATTTAAGGTTTAATTACAAAGATATATGATGGAAAAAATTGGAAGCTTGCAAAGACTAATGACCTCTCTTGACATTTTTGCTGAGAAAAAATTGTTTCCAAATACCAATAATCTGCCATTAGCAGATGGTGTGGCAATTCTGGGACACCGTGTATATACGTCACTATAAATATATCGTCTTACCGTGGCGAAAAATTCTATAGATATAACAAAAAATCCGACGTTCAAAACAAAATCTCTGGATTCCCTTTGTAACAAGAACAATATCATTCTCTGAATATGCAAAGGAGCTATATACCATCGAACGTTATATCTACAAAATTAGTTAATCGTAAGCGACTTAACGGATAATTTGAGATACATCGCAAAAGTTTATTAATCTTCCGCTTATTGTGCAAAAACATTGACTTTTACATTTTAATATAACAGTACAAAAATATAAAAATACATAAAAATCTCCAAAGTGCAAATAAATTTCTCAAATTTTATTTTGCAAGAATGTTTCTTACACGGTAACAAATACGTTATGATTGTGATCCGTTACATATTGACCGATATGGTTGGATAAGAACATATATAAAAAAGTGACTGTTGTATATAGAATGGGCAATATTAATTCTTTGGCATTATCTAGAGATGTATCATCTGCATGTATAATCTGAAAAATCTAAGACACAAGTACCACTGATAATTAGTCTCTCGCGCGTACAATGTTATTATGACTTTACCAATAATAGCAAGCTTTCATGTTATGTTTTGTTTTCTGGGACACCAAATTTAATTACTATAAAGACTCAAAATTATTATCTGTTAATTATCTTGAAATATTAATAATAATTGACTCTCTCTCTATCTCTCTTAGCATAGAAATACATAAATTGTTTGGAAATATGTTATTGACTGAATGGACAATTATCGCCATACTTAATGAATAGTTACAACAATCTACATGAATTTGGAATATAATTCTATGTTTTTATATGTTATAAAATATCGAATGCTTGCTCGAAAGTAAAGATTGAAAAACAAATCAGGAAACTTACTCGATACAGATTGAGGCTCATTGAGGCTACTCCAAATACTATTATACAGAACATCATCGATTGAATACTCGATTGCAAATGTTTGGTCAATCTTTTAAAAAAAGAAAAATTTGGTATATTACTTACAAATAATAATAAATCTAACATATTATTGAATATATACAAACTTCATAGCTTGTCGATGAATGTCCACAGCCCAAATTAAACCCTCGAATATTAAAAGTTCGTTTTTGAAATTAATATTTTGTAGCATGTTACTGTTCATTGCGTGTTCAATACGATAGCTAATAGATAAATTAATATAATATATGTGTTATAATTATGCTTATCAAATAGCATATTTTTCTGGTTTTGTAATGCTTCTTTTGAAAATGACAAGATTACATTTATAACCCAAATTCTTATGGTTGTTTTTGTATGCACGTTTCATACCTGGCGATCTTAAACATTCCGCAAGTATGTTGATAATACGCAAGAAGCGTTGTTCCTATTCCTATCATTGCAGTTATCCCAATGCAGAACGATACATTATAATGTAGCAGAATCCAGTAGAAATATTTTTCTTGATCGACGAAGTATTCCATTGGAATTAGGAAACGATGTGGTTGAGATACATTTATTGATAATATATTATTGAGGATACTCGACCAAAATTGAGCGACGATAAAAACAGGTAGACTGCAAATAGCACATACTAAAAGCGTTAGAGAGCAATTGTTATTCAAATTTTTGTCATACAATATTTCTAAGTAGATTTATGCTACCTCAAGCTTATTTCTGCATTATAAGATTTAATATTTCTTTATTGGGCATTTTCTTATCGGCCTTTTATTTGTTACCCAACTGTGTATTCAATTTTTATATTATGTATGTAATTGATTGCACATTTGTACCTTCTCTATTATATATAATTATATTCGAGTTAAATATACTTGTTACTAGAGATGTAAATCCTACTTTTACGATGTAATCTTACTTTTTTTCAAAATTTTGTTTTTTGTCAAATATTTTTAACATTTTTATATTTTGATTATTGCAAGTTGATTTTTCATTATTTCTGATTTTTTAGATGATGGATTTGAGTTAACCACCACTATTTTAAATGTAGATTACAATTCCATTTTTATATCTATAATAATTTATAATTTTATATGTAATTTTTATTTTTAATTTTGAGTAATATTATATTTGTAATTTTACAAAATTTATTTTAATTACTATTTCAATATAATAAAAAAGAAAAAAGTTCTTATATTTAAATTTTTTTTTCATGTTATTTTAATAGATTAATAAGATTTTTGCGATTAATATGATACCAAACACATCAAAATTTAGATAATTTTCAATTACATGCATAATAAATTTTTTTTGCTTCCTCATAGAGAAAGCTTTGTTTTCGTGACAAAATTTTTTTTCGAGTTTTCTATGCCAATGTGTTTAGGATGTTCCAAAACGTCGAAAAATCATATTCCTAAAAAATGTCTGTATGTATGTATGTATGTGTGTATGTGTGTATGTGTGTATGTAC